TTTGTGATAAAACCTAACACAAACATTTTATAACACCTCATTCAACTGTAAATAATTATTCATAACTGGTCGATATTTCCGCTTTATCACTATGACTTATTATCATGTAAACTTCCTGTATTTATTTACTTCACTGGAGATGGCATAAAGTATGCCGAAACATGTTTGCCTTTAAAAAATTTGTCGTTTATTTAAAATTTCACATAATAACTCGCTATAAATGATTTGCCGCTGAAATAAATTGCGCCTTAAGGTTGGGTGAATTAATACTTATTCCAATCTTAGATAGGGATGGACGAATCAATGTCGAATCCTTTCTTGAGTCCCAACCCATTATGCCTGTGATAGCTCATTATTATATATATTTGGCTCTGCCACATGAATAAAAGTATATAACAGCATTCTCTGTGCTATATGGTATTGCATGTTTGAAGATAAATGCTGTTATTAACTATCTGGTATTACAAATGACATACATACTATCCGTTTAAAGTAGATAAGTGACATAAACTATCTATAACATCATACCACAGTTGAATATTAAATTCTTTCAGAGCGTTGATCATAAGGGTAAAGCCAGAATATATATACACAATCAAATATGCTTCAGTTTGCATATATTTTTACCATTAAAATTTTGTGATTTCTCTACATCATTTAAGCCAACTTCTCATATTTTTGTAGATGATGTAATTCCATCTGCGACACAAGCCGCTTTCCATAATATAATTGTTTTTATTCAGCTCCAGTGTTGCAAGATGGGTAGCGTGCAAGTCCGCCCGAGCTATCTTTAAAAGTAGCCCATAAATAGCCCAATTATATTTTGCAAGAAATAGCCCGAATTTGCATAAAAACAAGTAAAAGCTAGCCCAAGTCTGTTGAAAATATTTAATTTAAACCAAACTACACATTGATATCGTATATCGCATCGTTTACGTCTTCTGTACTTTCATACATTTCTGAAGTAAACCTAGATATCATTTGAGGCGAAGGAGTGAAATTGCTGCAGCAAATTTTTTGCGTTGCCATTTATGATTTCACGTGCAAGAGATTCTCTAGTAGCGACTGTCCCATTTGATTTCTTAGTTTGGATTTTAGCAAAGCCATCAGAGAAAATGCTCTTTCAACTGCTACGTTGCTAAAAGAAGAGCCAAAATAGAAAGTGCAAGGCTTCCCAACTCTTGAAAATCGTGATCCACAGAAGCATAAACATGATTAATGACGTCGATCCAAAACTGCTCAATCTTCTGGTCGTTGACATCAATCCACTAGATTGAACCAATGCGACTATATTGTTGGTCAAGTTTACCAAAATCTCCGGAAAATAGTGGAAGAAACGACAGGCCTTGAAGAGATCGTTTCTGTTTACCTGTAACAACAGTTGGACTTAGATCAGCAATAGACTCAAGCCGCTCCACATTGCATGGCAACCTTTGCTTCATTTGTCTGAGCAACTCAACCAGAAATTGTTGACATCTAGATTTGATTACATCAACCTTTTCAGAAGTTAAATTTGATTCCGCCAATGCCACTTGAAATAAAATACCAAAGACGACCGCAGAAAGAGGCACATGATTTCTCTCATCCTCTATGTCGTACGTGAGAGTGGAGCGCCATGTTGTAAAGGTCACAGGCTTCATAGTACGGAAAAGAAACGCTTTATACAAACTCATGACATCAGTGAGGAATTGCAACGGGTTAGCAGAATCTGACTGAAACAGCTTATTTACTCGGTTTAATTCTTTAAGGATAGGCTGCAGAAAAATTAGATATAATTTATTCTCCATGTCACCATACATTTGAAAAAGTAATTCTGCAGTGTAGTTGCGATCTTCATCTTTGGCAAGCTGAAAGTGTAGTTTCAGTTCGTCAAACTGTTGGAGTATTCGGTCAAAACATGCAGAAATAGATAGCCAACGTGTATTGGAGCTTTAAAATCTTCAAAGGTGCTTCCCCCACGTTGATTGCTGAATAGATCTGGCGATACTTTCGTTGCCAAGAAGTGCTATGGAAAAACCAGTTGTGCGTTTCTGACACCATGAACTCCACATTCCGTGGCATTACTTTAAAAGCATGTGAGGAACAAAGTTGGATAGAATGACAAATGCATCTTATATGTATTATGTTAAAGCATAGTTCACGAAATTTTGTGATTACAAAATTGTTCCTTCCGCACATTGTGTTGCACCCATCAGTGGCCAAGCCTCTACACTGCTTGATATCAAGTTCTTTTGCTCTCAAAAATTCAATTCTTGCTTGAAAAATGGCCTCTGCCGTTCCTGATTCAATAGACAAAAGTCCAAGGAAGCTTGTGAGAATCTGTTGTTTGGCTGCGCTGTTATACTTAACCATAATGCACAGTTGTTTTCATTGCCAATGTCGGTGCTTTCATCTATAATTAGTGAACAAGGGATATCAGCCAATTTTTTAAGTAGCTGTTCTAACATCGCTGGTCCTAACACACATTTAATCAATGCAGTACACATTGTTCTGTGGAGTTTAACATCTTTCCCTGAGACAACTTCAAATAACTCGCCAAGATGATCCACGGTGTTTAAGCTAGAATGATACGCGATGTGGGCAGCGATCTTTATCTCTGTAACTTTTAGAGAATTGTCTACTTTTCTACTTTGACAACCTAACTCAAATAAGGTTCTTGAACTGGAAAAAGGTTGCTTGTTGCGCTTATGTTTCTCAGTTTTTGCATGAGAAACTAGATCCCCATGATGTGCTCGAATTTGAGTTTTGAATTGTGCTTTTTGGTCGTCTCCTGGTACACTCAAAATCCATTCTTTCAAGATTTCTTCCTTATCCCAGTCTTTACAATACTTTTTATGGTATTTTGCCCACTTTCCCATGTTATATTAGCACAATTTCTGTTTACCACGGCAAAAACAAAACACGTGGAAGCTAGATCATCAAAAATTTTTCCAGCCCAAAAAACCGCGCAAAAAGTTATTCCCAGCCCTAAAACTCGCAACCCACAACCTCCCAAAATTTGGCAACAATGTTCAGCTCATATATGCAAACTAGTGCCAAAATCACGTGCGGGCTCTCATCGCCGATATGTAGCGTTTGATATACGATGTTTGGAATAAACACGAATGCGTTTGGTTCAGTGAAAGGGTTTTGATCACGTATAAAAATGCTTGTTCTTGTTTCCCATAATTGCCCAAGAAATACAAAAAAAATGAATTACCATCACAGATAAGCTTTCCATTATGAAACTGTTATGTCGGTGAGTGTTGTATTGTTGTACAAGATGATCCGGGTTACGCGAATAAATTACAATAATTACGATGCAAGCTCACATATAGTTATAAACTTATAATTGCTGTAGATTTTTATCTCTGATAGAATTTCAGCAATTACAACTATTTGGGAACTCTAGGAGTAATAGTGAACACCATTATATATAGACTGCTCTTGCATGTTTTTAATGCTATGTAAGCAAGTTAAGCGTTTTGAACTTCAAAATTATCTATAAAAGTTTTATCAGCTGCTAAATAGTGGTAAAATTTACCATACAAATAAATACAAGTATTATTGAAATGAGTGTGAACAAAGTTGGGTCAATCATTTATATATAATAAAAATAACAACATTGCTACATCTTTGTATGAGCATAACTCACCATATCTGAAGAAATTTTTCATATCACCACACATGTTGTGTTCCAAAATATCACAAGCATATAGATTTGTGATGAAAATTTCAAATTCATCGTAATGTTCATCGCGTTTACAAAACCTGATGACATTTTATATGCATGATTTGAAGTCTTTTAAGGTATCAAACTGTTTCAGCTTTTCTTTTGATAGTTCTTTAATCCTGTAATTGTTTTGAATTTGCATGAATTTAATGTATAAGTTACATCACCCTCAAAGAGAGTATAGTGCGCAATGGCTTTGGTACGTATTAACTAGTACAAGCGTAAATTTGAAAAGCCAATAAAATAACCAGGCTGACTGTAAAGGTCTGACCAAGCTGTCTATCAAATTTTACACTTAATTATATCACACAACGTGTCGAAGTGCTTACCAGCAAATCGATATAAGTATATGATCACAAAAGGGAATATGAAAATTATAAGATTTAAGATTCTAACAAAACTTATTATGAGCAAGATCATGGCAGATGCTAAAGTCAGTGGTGTGCTCGGAACAACTTCTCTAGGTGGGAGGGAAAGGATAACGCGCCATAAAATATAACATATTGGAGTCGTGGGCCAAAAGCCTAAGCTTTTTGGGTCCGAAAGTATGCTCCCGCAGGTGATGAGAACTTCTAAAATGCCCTTTCATGGATTTTGCAGAATCAAATAGTACTATTTGTACGCTTTCAAATGCGTTTTCTGACACAAACAAGAATGACTCCTTATTCATTCCAGACCCCCGAAAATGAACAACGTTGAGGGGGCGCAGCAAATTTATTACTGCATAGTTGCATCAAGCGTACAATGTAATTATTTTATTCCTCAATTCAAAATAAGCAATGTCAGATTCATATTATTGACCAAATCTAATGCAATTCCAAATTATTTTTTTCTCTACATCGCTTACACTCCTTAATATATATATTATCTATGCATCGCTTTTGTTTGACATAAGCAATTATAGCAAGGTTCATCAACTCTATATACACAAATTTCGATACAAATATTTTAAGTATAAAGTGGTTGCTGAGAATGTCTTTGTGCTGACTTTTGCTGACTGTTCTTTTGAAAATGCTCTCAGACAAAGAACTTTGCAAGAACGTAGCAAAGTTTTCATTTGCAAAATTTTCACATTTTCGCGACATTTTCATTGATTTTTTGTTTTCTATCGACATTCTTTTCTAAAATGAAAACATTGAAGAATGTAGCAGCAATAAAACTTTGCCTGTTCATATATAAATAGAGACGATTTGCTAGAACTATCTACATGTTATACTTGAATGATTATGAAAAGAATCTGACAGTATGCAAATTGCAAATATCCTTTTATACTTTACTATTAAGAGTCACGTACATGATGAATGTCAAGTAAACATTGTTAGATACAAGATCAAAGGGCCACGGACATTTTTCGAGTGCTTACCATCGCTTTTTTGATAAAGGCGAAAAAGGCATCGGTGAGTAGAATTCTGTTTTATGATGCATATACAGATAAATGGTTGGAATAAATATTATTTAATGTTTGAACATATGTATATTGTCTAGATTATTGCAGTTTTTAGAAGGACTATATAGTTGTTATTGCTCACATTGAACATGCATGAGTAGCACTAAGGATATCAAAACTTTATAGTCATCAGCAACATCAACGATAATTCTCACACCTGTAGCAACATGGACGATCAGTATTTACAAAGTTCAAACAATAACATACATGTGTCATTATAAACATTAAACACAAAAAATATGGGTTCAAGATTCATGAACTTTAGTTAATAGTTCGCAATCATTTTAAGTACTGTCAGTAACAAGCAAATACAAACAAAATGAAACTAAGAAAATATTGATTAAACATAGCCCGCTTATTTCATTGGATTTTTCAGTCTAAAGTGTCGTTTATTTTACTGAGGCGTTATTGGCGTCTTTGCTCTACCGTGATTATTATAAGTAACCATTATTAGATGAGAATTAACATCATATCAATAACTATTAAGACCGAGGTCAGTATTTTCTACTGAAGCGAAATTGAGGCGGATAACGTTGATTGAGGTCTGGATGATTCTTGATATCATGCGAAAGCCGAACTCAATAATTGTTTCATTATACACAATTATAAATGCAGCCATATTTTCTATAGAAATTATAAAATTTTTGTGCTTTGACAAGAATTATTTTTCACAGTTTGTCTTCATCTTTTCAGGGTAAATACTTAACTTATTGACCGTAAATAAGCTACTTATTACTCTACTTTATACTCAAATTCAAACAAATACAGTTTATAAGCCCCCCCTTATTACTTTTCGCATTTACAATTGTCACATAAATAATTATGTCACCTACAAATAGCTCTTAATATGTAGTCGCTGGCAAAGTGTGGAGAATTATCCTAAGCTATAAGCCAATCACAATAGAGATTGCATGAAAATGGTATAAGAATGTCATTTATTAATTTAGACGTCTATAAGTGCTATTACAACATTTTGTATGCGGATATTTTAAAACACTTATATTTTTTACAAACGGATCCATTTATGAAGTTTCCAGAACATAGATAATTATTGTATATTCACGCAGTCTACGTTACTATATTTTATACTAACTACTAGATTGTTCTTCACGAATAACTTTAAATAAATGAATTCGTGATAAAAAATATGATTTCTAGTTACTATGATTATTTTCTGTAAATTATGCTGACTTTTTCATTGATTAAATTATGTAACTTTTATTTGGATGTAGAAAAATATTTTTATAATAACATGAATGTGGCATTAACGACTTTGTCTACAAGAAGAACAACTAACTAGTATCTTCTGGGTTTACTTTGCTCTTCTTGTAAAAAGATAGATTTTCAGATGAATCAAATATGCCTATACCTGAGTATTACAACTCTGAACACTTTCTTTGCTCTTTCCTATTCTCATTGATATATTGGGGGAATTTTGTTTTTATAATTTTATAATTCATATCTTACATAAATTCATCTCAAGTAAAAACTTTTTCATGACAAAAAAATGAAGTTTTATGCACTTTTATAGAGGATGAAAAGAACAATAGTAGAAAAGTGTCTTGACTGTCTACCATGGAATAGCTTTCATCTCTTTGGAAGAATTACACTTATTTTCTTTGTTATATTTGGTTCAACCGCTCTTGGTATTTCATTAAGATTAAATGGTGATACTTCATTTAACTGTGATGATAAGATTATATCAAAGTCCAAAGGAGCTTCTGTGGAAATAAACATTAAGTCAATTTGTTTCAGACAATACCAAGACGAGTTAAATTTTAACCATTCTGGTTTACTGAGTTTGAATTTTGGCGTTGTCTTTTTTTTAAGTTTAGTCTATGGATATTTGGTAAAAAATCGAGTTGAAAAATATGATCGGTTGAATCCAGCAAAACACAGTAATGAATTTAATGAAGCTCTACTTCCAAGAATTGCGCAAAAAACTTCTCAGTCCAGAAAAAATTCATCCACTTTTTACATTTACGTCACTTATTTGGCTCTTCGCTTTACCATTTTGCTAATATTTGTTGTGTTACTTCTTCAAGAAGAGTTTCCTAAAGACTTTTCTTGTTCACTGCTTCCCGAAATGAAAAACCTTTCAAGGCACAATATTCCATCTTCATACAACGCCACAACAGTCGATTGTAACAATTCAAACAGGAAAAAAAGTAAAAACGTATTTGAATTCGTTGCATCCATTAATATAATTGTGCTATTACTGACAACATTAGAGCTATTTTACTTGATTAATGCTGCTTACAATGACAGTACATTTATAACCGAGAAAGAATTTTGCGCAGTTTACATGCTACGACAACGTGAAGGTATAAGAAAGTGCTTGAAAAATTTCAAAAAATTTTGCATCGACAAAATATTTGAAAAACATGATGATAGTCAAAATACTAGGCGAGTTTCTGACGATATTTATGTAAACGTCATTATGGTAGCAACAAGGCACTTAAATAATTCTTATCCAGAAACTTTTGAAAGATATGAAATCTTTAACAGTCCACTCAAATTTACTAGAGAAGAAAACAAACAAAAAATTTATGCCACATTGTTCAGGCCTTTTAAGAGTGAGGAAGATCAATTGTATCCACGTACTATTTTAGTTGTTGGAAGACCAGGAATTGGTAAAACTATGTTGACAAAAACTTATGCTAGAATGGAAAAACCAAACGAAACAATTTTGGCAAGACAAACTCGTTCTTTTAGTGAGATGCTATTGGTTTAATTGCGACGATATCACCCTCAAAGATCTATTATTGAATTGTGATGGATTTTCAGAGAAACATCTAGAAGGCATTTACGAGTTTATACTGTTGAATCCAGAAAGAGTTATTCTCATCTTTGACGGTCTTGATGAGCTTTCTTTTGATACTAAATGCCTTAGAACTGATGGCTCAGTCATTGCTAATGCAAAAATGCCAGCATTTACCATATTGAGCATGTTAGTTAAAGGTAAACTGCTACCTGATGCTACTGTTCTAATAACATCAAGACCCAGGGCTAAATGTGCATTTAAACTTCTAGGGTTTGACAGGACAGTAGAGATATTGGGGTTTTTTGAGGATCAGGTTAAGGAATATGTTATTAAGTTTAGCCGTGACGACAAAAGCATTGCTGAGTTAATTTTGAATTGCATTAATAGTTCTCCTGAACTTCGTAGATTGTGCTATATTCCCATCAACACATACATTTTCTGCCGGACAATGAAAGAAAGCTTTATCAACAATGACTACATAGAAGATCCTCCAAAGAATGCCACCGAATTGTACAAAAAAGCAGTAAAAATCTTACTTTGGAAGCATCATGAAGGCTATGAAAATGTATCGAAGCCAAACAGAGATAATCTTGTTAAAGATTTACTACTAAAGCTTGAGAACGACATGCAGAAAATGAAAAGTCTTGCAAAGAAAGGGTTGGAAGAAGGCAATCTGTTTTTTGATGAATCTCATCTAGCAGAGTTTCCTAATTTGTACAATTGTGGAGTATTTAGTCAAATACCAGACGAAGAATGCGAGCTTTTTTGCTTTCTTCATTCAACAATTCAAGAATTTCTAGCTGCATCGTGCATCGTTGATGATTGGCAAAACATTGGCGACTTTTTAGATGATAAAGTTACAGATTCCAAGTGGCATTTGGTGATAAAGTTTATTGCTGGTATAGTTGGAGACATGAAAAAAAAGAAGAAAGTTAAAGACATCAACAGTGTTAGAAAAAGGTATATTATTTGTGTTGAATAATTTAATTTCTCTCAAGCAGCACGACCTTTAGTCTCTCTGGATCGTACTGCTCTGCTTTCGATTTCTCGCAAAGGTTTCCTCGTGATCTTTGGCAAAAACACTAACATCCTTTATTTCATAACTATAGAAGAATGATCTATCATTCTTTGATACCATCAACAACAGTTTTTTGGAGATCTTAAGCTGTGTTCGAGAAAGATATATACGTTTGTATTCAATAATTTATGTCATTTGTGTACGAAACTTTTTTTGATATTTTTTTCGCATTTAGTTCAAGCTATGAAAACTGTGTGCTCTTTTCTGTATAATATGATATAAAATTTTCTGGTGAATCTCTAACAGACTAACAGTAGCAAATAAACATGAAATGGTAAATTAATGACAAACACACCGTCTGAGTTATCTCAATTATACTGTAGTTATAGGAGGGTAGCGAATGTTAAAGCTCATATATTGTAGGTAAGCTAAGAGTGATATCTCTTTTTAAAAAATTCTCTTCCAATATTTTGTTTCGACACTCTAAAGTATTTTTATACTAATAGAAGTAGTTACTTTAAACTTTTTCCAGTGTTAAAGAGAAATTCCAACACTTTTTACCAACTTACGCCAGTTATTACAAATCCCTGAAAAAGCTTTCACTTTTTGTGTAATTTATAAAGAAGTAAATATTTGGGCGCAATTAATAATCATATATATTTATTTTAATAAATTATAGCTTTCATATGACTTCACACTTCACTTTCAACAAAATAATACCATGGTTCGTTTAAAAAATAGTAGTTCATGCTTTTGGGATCAACATATTCAAGTTAATCTTGTTCAAACACTGTTCATTTAACAAAAAGTCTTATTCCTCTTAATATATTTGATTTTACATTTATAGATTTGAAAAGTGGATATCACACTTATATTCTAACGAAGAAGACAGCACACTTGGTTTTCTAGGAATTCAATGCCTATATGAATTGCAGGATAAAGATGAAACGAGGGCTGCCTGCACAATATCGACGAATTTTTCTGATGAAATGTTTATTGTTAGTATTTTTTTTACACCAATTGAATTATATGCATTGATTGATTTACTTTCCGAACTCAGGCAAACCACTAAACTTACGTTTAAGTCTTGCATTTTTCTTGACAGGGATAGCTGTACTTCATTAAAATCTTTCTTATTCAATTTAGAAGAATGCAATATATTTTGCTTAAAATTTCATTCATGTACGTTTGATAATCACTTTTGCAAATGTCTAAACGTAGCTTTGAAAAGAACAAGTTGCAAAATTACTTATATTGACATAAGTCATAGCCAACTTACACATCAATGTGAAGAATATCTTACTGAAGCTTTTCAAAGTCATACTTGTAATTTAACTAACTTGGTTATTAATGACAACGAACAAAGTAAACATTAAATAAATACTGTGTACTGGAATAGTTACAGCAATTTAGCTTATATTGGTACTAATATCTTAATAAAATCGTTTAATAATGACGATTGTTAACCGATATTAAAATATTAAAGTTTGACCTTTTAATTAGTAGTATGTGATCATTTAGGTTTTGCATTTGTGAAGGGAAGTAACTATTACAAATTAAAGGATGAAAGTATGCAGACATTTATGATTTATTTATGTGGAAAGTGTAACGCAAGCACTGTACAATCATTTGGAATTGTATTAATGTGGAGGGTGTAACTATAGTAATCAAATATGATAAAAGATTGTATTTTTATTGAGGGTGTAACTATGACATTAAGGTTTCTATTTTTGAAATAGGTTTATCAAGATAGCAAAAAATTTCAAGTAAATTGTTTAAGTAGTTTAAGTTGCCCAATGTAAGCTGCTTACACTATTTTCATCTCATGTTTCTATAAAATATTTCACACACTAAGCTTTTTTATGCAGAATGGAAAAGAATTTGCATTTTTACTGTTTGCTTCCTGCCCTACATTTTTTTTCTTATGAATTTGCCACCGATAATAATTAAAGTATCGTTTTATTGTATACCAACGCCATGTTTTAACAAAGGTTTTTATATAAAGTCAAATGAGCAGATGCGTAGGAATCAAGGTAAAGTTTGGGGGACTTGAGCTTTTTTGAGCAATCTCTCATTTAAAAAGGCCACTTTTTAAGTGCCACTTCGTGCTCACTTTTTCCGACGCCATTGCAAATGATCATCTGCATGCTAGAGACATTTTTTATACTTATCCTAAAATTTTCATAATCTGCATAGAGCATACAGAATGTAAGAAGCTTTATAACTTTACCAAATCACTCTTGTATTTTTTTACCTAACCGTGTAGCTGTTTTATTCAAATTTTGAAAACATGCTTCAAAACATTACACGTAATAAAGAAAATTTTTGATAAATTACAGAACATTGATATGACAGCATTTCAAAGTGTATAGGTACATAAAAACTTCTCAAAGCACTTTCTGAAAAAATTGTTTAGCAAAGATTTTCTTCAGAACATTGACAAATATTTATAATTAAGTCACTTTAAGTGGTCATCTTTATTCAGCTGGGTTTCATCTCGCTTATGACTGTTGTAGAATTGCTAAAACGGCATTTACTGTCTTGAAAATTTAGGAATTGATTATCAAGTAGACATGCCACAGTTCTTGAGTGCAAATGCATTTGAGCAAAAAGTACACCATGAATGCTTTTCGGAACAACATTTTTGATTTCTATTTAAAAAGTAAATTGAGTTTTCGTGCCCTTGCTAAATATTTCAGACTCATAATGAAATTGTTGACTTCCATTACGTAAGTTTCGTGATGACTCATTGAAATTACATAGTTGCATTCTAATTTTAGTTACATTACATAACTATGTGCATTTAGTTACATGTATTGTAAAGAGCATAAGTCATATTTATAAAAAGGACATTACGTCATACTTTTTAATTAGCTTATAGAGAGTATATAAGCAACGACAGCTAGAGTGGTTATTATGAGACCTTGTGCGATATATGAAAGATACCAAACGCTCGTGATAATTGGCTGTTTGTTGCTCAACGTATCGTCGTGAGGATTTTAGGACAGAGAATAATTATAGATATTGTCTGAGAAGCAAAACTATTTATCCTGTTAATTCTTTCTAATAGTTTTCTATATTAAATGAATAATACAAAATAATTAAAGTATTTTCTTACTTCTTTCTTTTTACCGTAAACGTAACAGTTCTGTACTTAAATTATAATATTCAACAATCACTGGAGAGAATATAAAAGTTTTTCTTATAGGATAAAATATTAAGGAAAGGTTGAGTCTAGTGCAAGCTAGGTTACGTCTCGTGCTATTTAGATCAATTCTATTGGAGTCTTTTAATGAACACGGAGTAATACAATGAATCACGTTATTGATTGTAATTTGGTTGACAGCAAACACGTTTGGGTTTATTGAAATTCATCAAATTTTCATTTCATTTCCAAATGCTAAATTTTTTTAGTATTAAAAATACACAATATTCCGGTAGGCAGATTAAAGAACAAGTAAAGAAACTTCAATGTTGCCTTTGTTTCAATGAACAGATTCAGAACCATTTGTTGGCCACAAATATGGACACTATTTTTTCTAAGACAAAAACGGATGGAAAACTAGCGTACAAAGTAAAAGACCCACAAACAAAAAAGAGATCAGACTCAGAAATTTTTTCAAAATTTTAGCGTGTTTCAATATTTCTTAGGTTTTAAGTTAGTTTTCTTTTCAAGCAGCTTATATCTAAGTGCATAAAAGCCAGTCTCCAATTACGAAAATTTTCCACGGAGCGTACAATTTTTAAGGTTGCGCCTGCTGCAATCCGTACAAAATACACGAAGTTACAAAACTTTTCTACTCTATACTAATATAAAAATTTATTACACAATTAAGTATAAAGCTAAACTTAATGTTAAAAAAACAACATGGACACAGACATTGATAAAAAGGGTTACTTAATGATAAACACAAAAGAAGACTTAAAAGGAGACTATAATATAGACACATAAAAGTACAGGGTGACCCAAAAAGATGCGTACCCATGAAAATTTCAATTATGGCTTTAATTAAAAAGCTATTTATTTCAAATTACAACCACACATAATTCAGTTTATGGAAGACTATTCACAAGAGCTTCGACTTTGCCAGACAAGTAAATGTTTGCTTGCAACGAAATGGTGGACATTTGGAACACATCTTGGGAAAGCCATAAATTGACTAAAAATTGACAGAAATAGCCGAAACTCTTGTGAATAGTCTTCCATAAACTGAATGATGTGTGGTTGTAATTTGAAATAAATAGCTTTTTAATTAAAGCCACAATTGAAATTTTCATGGGTACGCATCTTTTTGGGTCACCCTATATAACTAAAGAGTGAAACAAGAGTAGACATAGGTTAACCTAAGAATAGGCACAAAAGTAGAGATAAAGCCCTAACAAAAAATTCGCCAAAAAACAAAAAGATTATGTTCAATTAAAAATTCAAAATGAGTTGGTTTAAAAAATAGTTTTAATCCACTTATTGCGTATTTTGAGAGGATAATCCAAATATATACACAAAGTATCACACAGTATGACATTCTATAGCTACGAAATTCGTTTTTCATGATCTTTCAAAATTACGATTTCCGCTTTCTCATTTAATAACGATTTTGGTTTAATACGCCATTAAACTAAAGTTTGCATATAGTTAGCAGTAATGCAGTCATCCTGAAGGCTGCACCTCACTGGAGAAATTTTCCGTTACGCCCATAAATATTTGCTACAACTTTCGTTATTTTGGGTAACTATTCTGAAAATAAAAAACAAATAATTCAACAACTTCTATAATTTATCGTGCAGGATGAAATACATTTTCATTCAACAGAGTTAATCAAGGACAATAGACAGACTTAAAACTTAACAGTAAAACAACAAATATTTCACGGAAATAAAAGTTCCAGTATAGACAAAACGTTTGAATATTAAATTTTAAGCAGGAAGTAGAACTGTTCAAAGTAAAATATAAGTAGGCTGCGCACCTATACACTGTTCACATTGTCTTTATCTTAGTTTGTGTACCAAACCCGTGTTTTATATTTTTCTGCAGTCAGCTTTTTAAAGTTTCTCCACTACTCGTTGAAATAATTGTTTCAATGTAAGAAGGCATTTGAAATTCACATTAACAATGCATATTTCATAATAATAAAAGACACTAAATTTTTAATCATTTTGTAGATTTGTGGAAAGAGGTCTCTTAAAAAGTCTTTTTGTCGACTAGCTTAGTTAATAGAAAAAAATTTATATAAACTAATGTCATAAGGAAAATGCACAATCTGTGAAAATGTTTAAAATTTGTCTACTATCTTGAAAGCTACATCGTTTACAGTAAAGACAATCCAAGATTATAGGTGATTACAAAACATAGTATGTTGAGAAGCTTCCATTAAAGCAAGCTTAAATTTAAGTCAATTATTATTATAAAGATAACTATCGTTAGTTCTTATTTATCAAAATCATTGATAACTATGTGTTAGGTTATGCTCTCATGTGATGTCTATATGTGTATCTTGTAAAGTGTGTGTTAACTTCCTACATGTTTAATTATAGAAATGATTGTAAACGTAATCGATATTATTTGTAACAAGAGCTGAGGAAATAAACTGACCAATCATAGTTTAGCGTCACGTATGTAAATAGCTGTATCATTATGTGTATCAGTTAGTTGTCATGTGCTAGTCTTTCTTCTATGTGTGGGAATAAGTGTAATAAAACCTCCAGAAATCGGTATGATTATTTATCATGGCCACTACATCAAACCCAACACTATGCACGTAAACAATTCTCAAAGTATGAACGCGTTTTACAACAATTTATCTCATTAGCATTATCTAAAATATTTCATTTAGTAAGTTTAAAATTCTCAGTTTTCAAAGCTTTACTAAGATATTTCTAGCACCTTCGTTCCATATATTGCTATTTCTAATATTCAATTCTCTGTTTTACAATTATTACACTTCATACGTTTACCAATTGCCTACAATAATGCCTACAATATTTGCATATATCAGTACACCAATTTCTTATAATACCTAAAAGTTTCTTCAAGACATTTATAACCTTTTGGAGTTACTGTACTGCTTCCAATAGCCACGCACTTCAGTTTACATTTCTCATTTTCTAAAGGTTCGACTAGATATTTAATACCATCTTCACTTATCAGGTTGCATTCAAGATTTAAATAATCCTAATGTTATCTATGCTTGTTTCGTATTGCATAATTATTGTGAATGAAACGAAGAACCTGCTACTGACGAAAAGATTGCAGCTGCACTTGCTCATGATAAAGATGTCCAGCCAACTTCAACACCAAGCTACAGACGAGAGTCCAATGAAACCGAAGAAAGCGTGTGGGAATAGTAACTACTAAGTACCTTGATCCATAAATCTAATGAAAGAAAAATTGAGAACAGAAATATCATTGACTATTTTGATCTGACACAATGGTAAAAGGTGTTATTATAATTGTGTCCATGTTGATTGATGTGTTGATGCATTGGGTATCGGCTATAATGCTGCACAGTCGTAGGTTGATACATTGCTAGGTCAATTGGTTGGTAAGGCTGATATTGTAGACCTGGTTGGATGGGGAGTCGTTGATGGAGACGATGCATTTTGTTTTTCTGGTATTCAGTGAAGAAATCTGGTAAGCAATTTGTTAATTTTCAATGTTAGATGACATTCTTTCGATGTTTTCGGAGCATTTCGTATCCATGTTGTCTACCTTATCAAGAAGCTGCTTTTTGACTTTGGAATCTTCATAACCAACAGATAAGCAACTGATTATCAATAAACAGTTTTCGTTTAAAATTGTCTTTCCTGTGATACTTTAATTTATCATAAAGTGGAGCTGTTCTGTTGTCATACAAGTTTGGGGTATCAGTGGTGTTTTGTGTATCACTGGTTATGGACTTGTCTGCGATGTAGTGCATGGAGTTGGGCTCTCAGGCTCAGAGTTACCAAGTACAAGATGTTATGCATCTAAATCTACATTATTTCGTGAGGGAGTCGATGAGGCTGAGGATGTGGGATTGATCGAAATATTTGAGGACTCGTTTCCTGTAGCTATGGATGTTGTTGCTGGTGAACCTCATCCATGGCCGCTTCTTTTGCCTCTATCCACTAATTTTCTGCATTTAGTTCTTATATTTTTTAGTTTTGTGGCTACTATCTGCTTTGGAATTTCATTAACGTTATGTGGAAAGTCTTTTCAATAGACGTGCTTTCATCTGCTGGATATTGCTGTAGAATATCACCATACTTAGTCTGGATTGATTCCCCGTCGATGCTTTCAAATGACTTTGAAACTTTATGGTCATTAGGTCATTACTTACAACCAACAGAAGTTTTACCTCGTCATCAACCATATGAATGCCTCTTGCTTGTTTTTTCGTTTATTTTGCTGTGAAGAACTAGCCATGATGGCACAAATTGAAATATCACGTTGGAAAATAACATTTTGAAAATAAAATTTTAATATATCGCCAAAATAGACAAACGGACAATCAGCCCTAGTAGCTAAATAAAGTAAAACATGCGCAATTTACCAAATTACGTCACGCTAGGTGCCGATCATCGTATTCAAGCGTTGTAGTGGGGACAGTCGAATTGAATGATGCATCAAAAACGGTAGTGTGGACACGAATTGATCGACGCATTTTTGGTCTTGTGAAACTGCATAGAAACGAAAACGCACTTGTATAGAACGGGTTCTCAGTGGAGTGCACCTAACTTTCGCGGGTCCTTAGTAAAAAGTCGCAGGCTGCGGGTTTAAAATTTAAAGTTTCAATTTTCAAAGGAGTTGATGCAGAGTTTTAGGGAAGTCTTGTTCGGTAATGATTTGTGTCTGTTGTACATATCCAACTTGCATGTATTCGATTTAAAGTATAGTTCATGGTTGAAATCATGGTAAGTTCTATACTTACCAACAGTCAACAATTCACGAATTACTCGTATGCAACTAGATATTTGTAAACTTGACACTCAGAAAATATTATGAAATAGATTAATAGAAAAGCATTGACTATTGCAAAAATTCCTACGCAGAAGAAAACGACATACCTATTTTAATACCAAGGAACAGCAACTTTCCTGAAAAGGGAAAACGTAAGTTTTTGCAATTTAACTAGTTCGTGAATCGTATTATAAGAGGCAGCATAGATGGATCAACCCCTACTGTCAAATTAAAGGCATTCAATCGATCAAATTAAAGGTAGCTACATTTGATGAGTAAAGTTTAACGTGAAATTATTCTACGGTCGTGCGTAAATCAATGAAATGCGTTGTTAATAAAACAGGAATTATTATTGGTTTGGAGGGCGTTAAAATTCCCATACAATTGAAATTGTAAATATCCAGTTGATATAAGTGTATTTATTAATAAACAGACATAACAAATATCAACCATAAATTCAAGATTTATTTGGATACAACTCATGTAATCAATATAAAACATATGATTTTCATGTGAAATAAACTTGCCAATGTTAGCATGGGAAAGTGGGAGACGGTTTTACTTATAATCTATCCATAGCTTATGAAGTTGAAGTGCATGAACACAGTGGCGTATCTAGGGTTCACGCTGGTCGGGCTTAGCCTGACCAAAAAATTCTCCCAAATAAATAGTTAAGTTATGCAATATAACATTAAAGCACCCTACAACTAATACCTATGGGCGGTTCTGCTATAGGAAGTGGCAAATGTGCTCATACGCAAAATTCAAATATCATTCTCAAAATATTTACGATTACAATTTATTTTTTTATTCTTAACCTAATTGAAATAACATTGTAAAATGAAGTATTTAAAGTACCATACAGACACTTTATCAGGAAAATACAAAAAAAAAGAAAAAATGTAAGCATTATCGTTAGAACAGTGGTGGAGACAGTCCAATCTTTCACTCCTACTATGCAAATTTTTCAGCAAAATTATTATTCCTTTCTTTAGAAAAGAAATTCGATGCTTTGTCTTTAAAGCAATTAAACAAAAAAAAAAAATAAACAAGATGGCTTCTTTACTGCTTTAGAGACATCATAGTTTGTTCCACCATTTTTTGGATGCATCCGACTGATGCACATTATCGTAACCATGAAAACCCTTATAATGTGAAGCAACATGACCATGGTTGATGCGACCTTTTTTCATTAAGTCCAAAATTTGTCGTCGCAAGTGATGCAAATGATTTTCATTTCGTTGGTACACTGATTTGAAGTTGCTCACTTCTCCTGCAACTACTGAGGATTGGCGAAATTTTTAATTAATTTCAGCATTTGTTGCCGCAAATTATGCAAATGCTTTTCATTTCGTTGGTGAAAGGATTTCTCTTCAACTGCAACTACTGATGAGTGGGTTTCATCTTCAGCTTTCTCTCCACGTTTATTTGATTCGATTGACTTAAAAGTAAAAAAAGAATGCAATCGGCTGAATAAATCAACAAAAACATGAAAATACAACTTGTCACTGCACGTTTTTAAAGCAATAAAGGCTGATGGCAAATTAGGGTTATCGCTCTTTACTGTTCAAAAAGCAAGCTTCATCGCTTCACAATTCTAAATTGAATGGTTTTTGAAATCATGAAATTTTAAAGCATAAAACATTTACATTCAAATGTTTGAAATTTGCAACTTTTTTAACATGCATGTTTATGTGCATATTAGCAAAAAAATCTAACGAATGAAAACGAAATCTTCAAATTTTTTGTGTATTAAAGCCAAATACCTTTGATAATGTTTGAAATTATATCATCACACATGTAACTTTTTTTAATTAAAAGCATAAGAGAAAGCCCATGACTTGGAACTTCTACACTTTTCTCGTACTATTTTATTACGCACGAGTCATTTCTCGTGATTTTATGTAAATACAGCTATATTGTCGGTCTCACTCTACAAATTATCTAAAAATAGGTGAGCCAATTAATCGCACTTCTTGAAATCATTTAAGCTGAAACAGACAGCGTACGGCCTTTGAAAATGTTTTTAAGAAAGATCATTTAGGGGCTGTTCACATGAGTTCGGGTAGCCGGGTTTCAGCGAAGCGTTAATTCATTTTGGCAAACGGAAAAGATTAAATATTTCACAACAACAAACTTATTCGTGCAATGTCTCTTTGCTCTTGTTTTGCAAATTTACAAAACCTTTAAAAATGAAAACAAATAATTTAATTTGATTTGAAAATTACAACTGAAATGACTCATGACGCTTTAGAATAGGGTGTAAGTTTTGCGTTTAACATTTTACTGCTTTTAATGACTCAAAATCATTTCACGCTTTGCCGAATCCCGGTTACCCGGGCTCATGTGAGCAGCCCCTAAGATCATCTTCACTTGACGGCGATGATTGATAATAGTTGGGAAAATTTAGATTTAGAGCGCTGTCGCTTTTATAAAATATTTTGTTTGTTTCTTCCAAGTCTCTCAGTTATATTTTCGTGGCAAAGTTAATGAACAGAAAAAAGGCAGCGAAAGTTTATTGTGATTTTAAAATGGACAAGGCATAAGAGTAAAAAGAATTACATTTATTAATCCTTTTTAACCTACCTTGATTGGGCAACCATTAAGGTTCTCGTATGCTTTTAAGACCGTTGTACTAAATTCATAGTCGAAAGGTTCTTCGGTGGGAAAACGACAGTGAAACGGGACTTGACATTCAGTCAATTCACCAACAGCTATAGCCATTCCATCATTCAAATGGTAGTCTATATGACAATGCATGAACCACCATCCTGGGTTCTTAGCCAGAAACTCTATCACAACATATCCTCCTGCTGGTACTATTATCACATCTTTACGTATTGTGGTTTTGTTGCTATCTAGATCTTTGAAAGAAAAGTCTTTTTGTTAATTGACAATGCAAATCTTTTATTTCTAAAATGACCTCAAAAATTGAGATCAAAAAGCAGAAATGTCAAAGATATATTCTCCGAGGTAAACAATTAAGCTTTAAAATTAAAAAAATGAAATTAAAAACATAAAATACGTACAATTACAGTTAGGTTGGAGACTTTAGAACTTTACATTAATTATCAATGTTGATTTAAATTCACTTTGTGCTGCTAGAAATGCACTTCAAATCTTTCAAGCAAAAAAATCGTCTTTGTTTTAAGGCATGTTTAAACTTCTCACGACAGGGCATCTACCAATCAGAAGCTGTGTTTTGCATATGTATTTTGTGGTTTGGGTTACCATAATCTTTGTGGTCATCTCACCAGAAAATGTCCCTACATTTCCATCAGCAATAGAGAATAATGTTTTAAATAAACTAAAAATTCTTAAATTAATACCTGATGGTCGTTTTCCATTTGTCCAATGTCCAGGCCCACACTTTTCAATTGTGACATCACTATTCGCTTTTTTAATGGTGCCATTTTTGTATAAACTTGGATATCCTATCTTTGTTACAAAGAAAGAATGACCATGAAGGTGAATCGGGTGATTTGAATCCCCAAAAACAGTAGATTCTTTAACACCCATTGCAGTAAGTATGAATCGGATCGTTCTGGGATTTCCGCTTTCAGGGGCACGACCAACGTAGACAGAATGCGCACAATCATTAGTGCAATTTCTACTCGAGTTGAAATTCCTGTATTTACATTCATTCGGTGTAGGTTTACTAATATTTGGGTGAATGAAGGGTTTTGAAGGAAGAGCAAATTTAACACCATTTATCCTTGGTTCTTGCACAAGGTTGAAGTTGAAGAAATATTCATCGATCGAATTTTCATCTTTGCTGGGCATTTCATCATTGGGTGTTTCATGAAGAAGTTGCAAATTGTTCACGAGCTCACATGTGATATTGTGAAAAGGATAATGTTTGAAAGGACAGTTGATGGCCGTGCAAGTTTTCTCATCACACCGCCTACCTTGGTTGTATACATTGACCAATTTGAACTTTTTGCATAAGTTACTGTGGACAGTGTATTGAAGATAAGCGTAACCTTTGTAGCTTTCACCATTGCTGCACTTCACTGCAATCGATTCTATTCGGATTGGATATGCATCACAAGGCTTTGGATTCGTACCTTCAGCAGGAATCACCTCGATGTCGTATCGTTCCCCAATATGAATAATTAAAAAATCAACGGTTTTTTTCAGTGACGAATACCCATCCGTCGCGAGAATATTCAATTTATGCCCGTCGATAGACAAACGAAAAGCATGCAAAAACATAGCACCTATAACACGGAACCGATATCGTTTATTTGTAGTGACGTTAAACACGGGCGTGAATTTAGTTTCATTGAAATTTAAAGTGCTGTCCAGGTTTTGTTCATTGATGCGAATGAATTTGATTTCTCCGTTGTCCATATAAAAGAGAGAGTTATCTGGTTGACAAATATTTGGAACTCCCTCGCTTCTAGAAGCGTTAGATAATACATGCTCTCGTATTACAATGACGTTTTCATATGGTTCGTCTATAATGTCTTTATAATCTTGAATATCCGGCTTTACAATGAAGGCACCAAAAAGTCCTTTATCTCGTTGATATCCCACGTGTGAGTGATACCAATGTGTCCCAGCTGGCCACGCTTTGAACACGTGCCTGTATGAATTCAAATATATTTAACTATAAAAAAGTGAAAGGTTTTAAGTTGGTGTACTGTTACTATAGTTTCTATATGTGAGTCATTCAGGTTAGTTTATTTGTTAGAAGGATTGTGTTTACTAAAGTTTCTATATCATTACAATGAAAACAAATTATTTACACAGATATCCTTCTTTCCAACGTTATTGTTGTGGGCACCAGGAAACATAGTTATCTTACAATAACATCACAATAACGTCACATTTTACAAGAGCCGAATGCGTTAAGACTAAACAAAGTGGGATTAAAATCCATTGTCAGAGTCAAGTACGAGCTAAATTTCAGGTTTGTTGTAATTTTTGCCTAGTTTGCCGTATTATTGGCTGTTTTATATATAAACATCAGCATACCTGCAGTATTTTACGTCAAACATTTATCAAACAAAAAAAAAACAAACGTTGGAATCTTTAATACTAGTCCCTAGCTAGTTGCTCGTATTCTTAGCTTTTCCACCACTTGTTCACTCGCCAATACTACTGGTCTTTAAATAAATATTGAAAATTCAATTTAATCTGTCCATTAAAAGACCTGTTATTTTTCAGTTAGTGCTCAACTGTGATTGAACTAAATACCAAGTTTGGGTTGGGAGCAACTTGTGTGGATTTCATTCGACGTAATTTCTACAATTCTCTCTTTTAAATAAAGTTAAAAGAATATTTTTTCACAAAAATACGCTTTTGAAGATTATAAAACAAATAACGTAACATAATAGTTGCATTTTTAAATTTAGGAATGTTCAATTGTTCCTAAAGTTCTCTAAAAAATTTGTGCAATGATTATAACAATGCTTCAATAAAATATAAGGTATTTTTTAAGCAATAATTTAATGATCTTTTTTAGATCTTTATCATTAACATTAGCAAAGTTATAGCCTTAAAAACCAATCTTTTGTTTAATGCAGATTTACTGTGAGTGGTTAAAAATGAGGAACTTTACACTAAGCATATTACACAATTTAATAGATATAAAGCTTAGTCTTTGGCACACAACTCTTTCCTCTTTGAAGATTTTTACTCACATAGTCTTTATATTTAAACAATTTTCTCTCCTATAGTCTTTACCCTTCTCTCTTTTGCTCAAAACTGTTCTCATTTTACCAACAACGCTTGTTTTTCCTTAATTTGTCATTTTATACTAACCTAAACGTCTGTGAAGGTCTGGTTGGTTCTTGAGTTATGTTTGCAACACCGTCCATATAGCCAGTGTTCCATTGGTGCATGCCATGCCAGTGGACTGAAGTGTTTGAAGTATTCAGGTAATTGAAAACATCCACGACTACATAACTGCTGACATTCACTATCAAGGTCGGACCCATTCTCTCTCCGTTGAAGTTATACACGTTGTTCGCATTATATCCGTTGTCAGGTGCGCTTTCGTTTCTTGTTACATTCAATCTAATCATGCAGTTTGCAATTTTCGTGCAGTCACATACTGAGGGAAGATGACCATTTGCTGGCGTACAATGAATATATTCAATCGCTCGAGAAATACCAACAGAAACGAAGAAAGCGAATATGAGCAGATAAACCGTTCGTAGACTCTTGCCTATTGTCATGAATAAAAAAAATTGCAAAGTTGGCGGAATGAACTAGTTTAAAAAAATATCATGCATTAATTGTGATAAATAACAAACATCAAAAAGTTTGAGAAAATTAGGATGGTTTATAAGAAATAGGTACACAAGCGTACATGTGGGCAGCCTGTAGAATTTATGACTGCAAAATGAAGTAAATTAACTCTGAAACATCCGATTTTTTTAATTTGAGTTTCATCCTGCTTTGTGATTTTCTGTTTTTGTCATAGCGTCTGCGGGCAACTCTGTATTATTGTATTTCTTCCCCATAGTTTGACATGCATCATGTATCATTGTCATTTAAGTGTTATGACATGAGTCATATGAAAATAGGCGTACAATATCAATTGTTTTGTGAAAGGAATAGCTTTAAGGTTTTTCACTTCACGAGTGAATAGTGAGCGTGTCCACTTCTAACTCGATCAAAAACTCTGATTTTACATATACAAGGGCAATTGTATTTCAAGTGTCTCGAATCCGAAAAATTGGTACATGTTACAGTCTACTGCGCTGGCAGTTTCAACAATATTGCTGCTTTTTTGTGTTTAATATTTTCAACTATATACAAGCTAAAGTAAAATCAAAACGATTGACGTAATTTTGAAATAAATAAGCATGAAACTTTGATAACTGCAATCTCGCAAATATCAGTATCGCGTTATACATGGTATGAATGGATAATAAGCATTCATACAATTGAAATTGCTCTGTAGCGTATATATTTTAGCTACTATAAGCTGAAGGAAAATGCGCCAGTACAAAGTGCATTTAATCCTATTTCGCCTAACTCAACTCGAACACTTTTAAGCACATGCTTTAACCACAGCTTCCCCCATCATTAAGGCTCTATTCATTCATTCCCAACTGAAAGCCTAAACAAGAACTAGAAAGCAAAAATATCTGAATTTTCAAAAAAAAATTTGACAAGTTGTCTATGATAACAGACAAGACCAAGAAAGCTTTTAGTATTTTTAAAATAATTTTGATCTTAGACATTTGAAGGACTTGGCGTATTTTAAATTTATAGAAAAGCACACCAATGCTTGTAAGCGAAAATTTAGAAAGCTTGAAAATAGTCCACATTTGCGCATGTTAACCGAACTACAGAGCGTGATAACACTGTTTATATTCAGTATTTACCATGAAAATTAATACAAAAAACATAAAGAAGTACAGAAAATTTTTAATAGCTAGACTATCTCACTTACCCATGTTGCTTGCGTGGCTTATACACTAGAAATGAAATGTAGACTGATGGTAACCTGACATATATTTATACATAAAAAATGTTGCTACCAAAATAAATGTCACGATTACTCATCACGTACAGGAACGAGAAACAACTGAATGCGCATGACCGTACGTCATGGTACTTAGGCGCCGTATACATCCGATTTAAAACCTCGTGCCAAAATATATGAATAACATTCCATTTCATTTACAAATATGTAATGATAAGCTCCATACAGTTTGTTGTATCCACAGAATACCACGATGACTACAACATTAGGAAACAATTTATTTTTTGTGCATATTTTCAAGAGGTATGCTTGTCTTCTTCAACGAGTATTTATGATTGTGAATCCAATATTCAATATCTATTAATAGCATACACCTTCCAAACATGTTTTAGAAGATTCGAGGAACAACGTCATACGCATGACTGTGGCGCCATACACCGACTCTTACGCATGACCGTCACTGCATACACCGACCCTTTAACACTTAAGCAACATCCTGGAATTAATATTCATGCCACAAATAAAAGAAAATTTGTAAAAATATCTTTCCTCGTGATTTAATAACATAAATCCATATAAAGTGTGTTTTAGGAAAATAATGTAATTATCCACAAATCCAAGTGCATTGGATCATATTCAAACATGCTAGAACTTATACAAGTGTAAAACTAATTTCAAAAGAGCAACTTTAAGAAATTGTACATTTTGATTGAAGTGTTGATGTACTTTTATTCAGGTCAGCTCAAAATAGAGTGGCTGGATCATGTTAAAAGTGTTGGATTGGATTTTAAAATGCTCATACAATGATGCTTTAGGACGCTATTAGCTAGAACTGGAAAGAAAGGTGTTTGTTTGAAAGTTGATCCTTCTTTGGGACTGATATTGATTGTTATTTCTAGACGACTGCGCACAAGTGCTTAAAAGAAAATAATTTGCTGTCTCTTTCCGCGATTGGTGGCGTTGAAAAGAAACAAGAAAAACCTAGAGCCTAAAATTTGCAATCTTATTAAAAAATGCGAATTTTTGGTAATTGCCACGATACAGTGTGCAGTGTAAAGCCTGACATACAGCTACATATGGTCTAGCAAACTTCAGTGTAAATTACTTTGTTTGTAAAAAATTGAGATGTATTAGTTAACACTTGTTCTTTGAGCATATCATTTGCCTAATTTCGGAGCAAATTTTACTCAAAAACTTTATTTTCTTGAAGGGAAAAAATTTCCAAACAAATATTTATCGTCATAAAAAGCCTAACTGGTAGTAGCAGATCAAGTGTAAGTCAGAATTCATTAAAAATACATACATTTAAAATTCAAAATACTTTAAAAAGATCTTATTGGTAAGAGTTTGGCTTCAACATATTCTTTCGAATTTTCTGACCAACAAAAGTATCATAATGGCATTTTGAATTTAAAATGAGGCTCTTTAATGTATTTTGACTTACCATGTTAACATTTTCCATATCAAGTGTAAGGATTTTATCGGGTAATGGTCGACTGGTTTGCTCTCTCATGAATTTCCGTACTGCATTTACTAAAAAACCAATTCTCGAGTAGTAAAAAAGTCGTGAACTATAGAGAGACTTCTTAAAATGCACTCAAACAACGTATTAAACTAAACAAAGAAGTTGAAGCTTAGACGATAAGTTTCTATAACACTTTATTAAACAGGATCGTGTATAATTTTTTAAATAATTACACGTGAATGCCGCGTGTTATTGACAGGTAGAAATGCTTTATTATTTAGCATTGCACTTACAATAGAATAAAAAATGCCGTCTAAACAAATTAGAAATAAAACAAAAACGAAGTAGTAGTTTTGCCTTCCTGTGCGAGCTATGTCTCGACTGTCGTTGTATTGCGTGACAATAATGAACGAAATAGTATATTTATTTCACCGATGAAAGAGTCGATATACTTACAATTGTTCCAAATTCCCTTTAGAAGTGAAGATCTTTAATCTAAAAGCAATGATACAAAAATAATGTGCATAATTATAGTATTAAATATATGTTAGAAAATGAACGTGCAATTAAGTTCCTAAGTGAAGTGCGTTGAGTATTATAAATGTCGGTAAAGTGAACAGTTGATGTTGGCGGACGTTTAGTACCGCTGTATGACGTATGAACAAGACAAAAAATACGTCAGCGAACCTGGCGTTTACTTCTCACTCGACTTTGAAGATAACTACCAATCTAGTTGTAGAAACGCCAGTGAAGATCAAGAACAACAGCCATTCTTAGGACTCAACTAACCTGGATGATCTGCATCTGTAATTATATGTCCATGTTGCTCATAGCTATTGATTATCATATTTTCTTTTGCACGTTAAGGCTCGCTCTAAGTGATCGTTTTTACTTGCCTTTGTACACCTGTGACTTGAATTTCAGTCATGGACATGATTGTATTCAGTAGCGGATTACTCAGAAGGCTAAGTAGACAGAAGCCTTTAGGCCTGTGGTATTAAGACATATTTAGTCTCTAGTTTTGTAACAAACTTTTGCACTATCTACTGTATAAATGTGCGATGCTCAGAAATCTTGAAGCAGATCATGGGTCTTCCTAGTTCGCAATGATTTTTGATATTTACTTTGAACGTAAATATTTTTCCGTATTGTTTACACTATGAGTTACAAACACAAGTCAGAAAATACAAATTTAAAGGAACGTGAGGGACGCAAACATCTTGAAAAGGCTAAACTTACTGGGAGGAATAAATATCACGTAAATGCCTTAATCCTTTTTTCTTAGCCTGCTGGCACGGTAACTAGTAATCTGCCATTTATTGTATAGATAATTTGTTTGACAAATTGCCATCTGCATGTAAAAAGCCATTGTTGAAAATAATGAGACTATTAAAGGCAGCTAACCTACATTTTACTTATTTGAAGTTGTCATGGACTTGAACGATATCTCCAATATTTATTTGAAACGATTATTAGTTCGAATTAGGTGTCGTATTGCAGAAATCGTATGACCAAAGTTTCTATGGTAGTAACTTCAAGCCCTTATGATTTTTACTCAATGACTGCATGAAAATTTAAGTTTTTAGTCAAGTTTTTAGTCAAGATTTTATTTTCGTATTGGAGATTATTATTTCATGGGGGCATACATCGAATGTAAATGTTTGTGGTAAAGTTTTGAAGGTCATGCATGCACTGGACTTTTAAAATTATACTTTCACCAAAAGTCGATTCTTTATTCGATTGTTTAAATTTTTGACCCAGTGAACAACCCTTTAAATGAAAACTGATCGAAACGTAGAAAATTTTCGTCTTTATTTGAACTTAATTCAATTTTTCATAAATTTTAAGTCATTTTCCTTAGTTGGCTTTGGTGATGCCAATGATCTAGCTACTCTAATATTCTGGCATGGAGCACAAGACACAAACTAGCTAAAGAAATTGCGTCAGGAATATGAACATGAATATCCCATATCGCTTTAATGCGTAAGAGGGTGTATGGCGTCAAGGAATTATTACAATCACGCACATAGGTCGTTCTTTGAGTCTTCTAAAACAATTTTTTAGAAGGTCGGTGCTGTTCAAAAAAACTAATATTGGATTCACAGTCATAAGTACTCGTCAGAGAAGTCAAGCATGCCTCTGAGTAAAATGCCTAAAAATAAATTGTTTCCTAATGATGTAATCATCACGGTATTCTGTGTTCCACTCATGGAAAAAACTAACAGTATGGAGCTTATCATTACATATCCATCAAAGAAATAAAGTATTATTCGTAAACTTTGACACGACATCTTTAAATCGGATGTATATTGTGCAATTGCACCATCACGTACGGTCATGCGCATTCAGTCGTTTCTCTTTCCTGCACGTGATGAGTAATCGCGACATTTATTTTTGGAATCAACGTTTTATATGTATATATTTGTCAGTTAATCAGTCTACATTTCCATTTCTTGTGTACAAGCAGCGTAAGCAACATGGGTAAGTGCGACAGTCGATTAAAATTTTCTTTACCTGTGTATGTTTTTTGTGTATAAATATATATAGAAAATACTGAATATAGACAGTGTTATCACGCTTTGTAGTTCAATTACCATGCGCAATTGTAGGCTTTTTAAGGTTTCTAAATTTTCGCTTACAAATGTTGGTGCATGTACTTTTCTATAGCTAAATTTAAAATACGCCAGTCATTCGAAATGTCCAAGATTAAAATTATTTTAAAAATATTAAAAGAATTCTTTGTGTAATCTGTTCTGATATACCACTTGTCAAATTTTTATATAAAATTCACAGGTTTTTGCTTTTTGTTTTTGTTTAGCCTTATATGAGTTGGGCATGCTTAAACAGAGCCGAAGTGAAACTCTGGTTAAAGCATGTTTGTGAATTTGAGTTAACGCCATATGTGTTTGAAAGTGTGCAAGTCAAATTAAACGGAATAAGACTGAGTACACTTTGTACTGGCACATTTTACTGCAGTTTAATAACAAAAAAATTTACCCTACAGAGAATTTTTTAAGGCATGAATGCTTATTATTCAACGTGTGAAACACATGATACTGATATTTGCTTTCAAGATTGCAGTTATCGAAAATTTCATGCTTATTGATTTTCAAAGTCTGAGCACCAATTTTTTTTTTTTTCATGTATTTAATTGAAAATTTGCAGCACAAAAAGCTGCGTTAGAACTGCCAGCGCAGTAAGCTGTTACTATAAGCTGTTAGTAACATAGTAACTAACACAACTTTTTTGGCAAATGTTTCAAGGCACTTGACATATAATTGTTCTTGTACTTGTACAGTCAAGAGATAGGATAGCGTATATGCATTAAGAATGCTTTGCATCGATTAAGATATGCAAACATAACTAGTACTAAATTAAAATAAGCATTTATGCAAAGTATTTAATGCATATATTAAACAATTATTGAGTAAGATTGAGATTCATGATATCAAGAATTATTTCGCTAGAGGTGGATGACATTCACATCTTTTTTAGAAACTGTGGCAAACATCGCTGCCTTTGATTTTTTCAGAACTAGCTTTTAATTGCGTCCATATTTGTAGACACTGTTTTTTGTAGATATGACGTCATACTTGCAGATATCGAGAGTTATTCACTATGAAAGCAATGTCGCTTTCGATTGGTCATTCTCGATATCTGTAGCTATGACATCATATCTACAGATAATAGTTTCTACAATCAGCTATTGATGCTGTTAAAAGCCGGTTTAAAGAAAATCATACTTTTCCAGCAGACAATTTCAAAAAATAAAGGGAAAAATGAAGGGATGTTTTTCGTCGTGTGTTATTCCTTTATTAGAAAATCATACAACAGCGATGTTTGCCACAGTTTCTAAAAACGATATGAAAGTGTTGTAAATTTTAATGTCAAGTTATGTATACCGTGTGACTGAGTGTTATTATACGTTATAAGATTATAACTGATATTATTATTCACTATATAAGCAATCTCGGTTGTGATTGGTCAACTACCTGCAGATGATTCTCGATATCTGCAAGTTGTGACGTCATACCTACAGATAATCAGATAATAGTTTCTACAAATATGGACGCTATTAAAAGCCGGTTTTGAAAACAAATCAAACAACAGCGATGTTTGCCACAGCTTCTAAAAACGACGTGAAAGCTTTTAAAGGAAAAGGATTTGGAAAACACTAAAAAAGCGGCAAAGCTGGCTTTGAACACATTTACAACATATTTAAACGGGACGAACTTGAATAAACCGTCTAAAAAAACTAATTAGCGAAAATTTGAAAAATGTTTTATATTGATATGTTTTGATAATACTTCAGTGAATAATAAAACAATTATTGAATTCGTTTTTCGCACGATATCATAAGTTATTCAGACCTCGGTCAATGCTCGGCTTCGCTTTGGCAGATAAGAATGACATCGATCTGAATAAGGGGCTGTTTATATGAAGCCGTGCTGGCCCTCTTAGCAGGATAGCCAGGTATGCGATATATATTTTTGATGTGTTTATATAACGTTCATCTCGCTTGCCGAGACGTTTTTCGATGTCAAAATGAAAACTTTTATAAAGCATCTTCTACTTATAATCAGACATATTATCAATCAAATGCTCCATCAGACATATTATCAATCAAATGCTCCATCATCTTTGTATCGCAGCGAAAGTTCTTGCTGTGAACCATTCTTGTGACTTATTTACTCGCTTTTGCAAAGCATGTATTCTGCCATTTTAATATGTTATCATGCGCGTGCTCAAATAGTTAAAATTTAGCTTTGCAAGCGGGCCTAGCTCAGCAATTGAATGCTTCCACGAGAAAAATTTCATCCCGGCAGGCGAGATCTTGCCTGTGCCAAGTGAGATCTCGCTTAGCAGGCCAGCCCGTATCGCCATATATTAACACTTTTTTATTTTCATTATAATATGTACTACGTAGGGAGATCTCGCTTAACGGGCTATCTCCGTAAGCGGGCCAGTTCGGCTTTCATATAAGCGGACCCTAATTCTTGATATCATGCTCAACCTCATCCAATAATTGTTTATTATTAAACAGATGGAAAATGCGAAGAAAGTACTAAAGTACTATAGTCATGTCAAGGGAACACTTCCTCACCGCATTGCGTCATTGTAGGATGTAGGTAAAAACGAAACTCTTGAAACGGAATGGCGAAGTTGCATGCAAGTCATGTAAACCCAAAAAATAATTTCTTGATAATTATATATAAATAGAGCTTGCAAGCGTTGGTTTGGGGGCAAAAAGTGACGTTTTTGGTATATGAATTGGTCGTACAAATTTGGTAATTTAGCAACCGTATTTCAGAAGACAATTGAGTACAAAAGCTCAGGTTTAGGATTAACGGTTGTCCGTTATATAGTTAGCAGTTATGTAGCAATCATTGGCCTTCGGGCTATCATTTCTGGAGGGAGGGCAGTAAATATTTTCCCCAAGTCACAATGAAGGTTCCGCCATATTTTTGCCCGACCATTGTTTAAAATTTGCCCATATTTTCATTTTTCAAACTTTCTTGGGGGTAGCTCCCCCTGCCACTGCCCCTTACCTCTATCAACAGTGTTTTAGTTCCATGCTTTTCTCAACTAAACCGGGCTCTCAAACTTAGCCAAACAATACTATTGTACATTTTATAGTTTTATAGAAAAGATATTCCTAATTTAATTAACTTATGACATCTGAGCGTACTCAAACACGCAGATTTGGAGCCAACTTGACCCTTCGATACTAAAAAGCGACAAAAACAAAATATAAGTAATACGTTCAGTATACATTGCTTTCACATACTCGCACTAGTGTCTTACTTATGATTTACTGAAGTCGATGCTAACTTCAACAGCAATGGCTTCATGAAAGAGCCTTTTTTTCAATGAGAAAATAATGAGCAAAGTATTATTTCAAGCAAAACATACTAACGATTTATAGTATATTTTTATACTAGCTAGAACTCCAAGCACTTGCTATCATGTTATGCGAAGAAAGATTGAACTTATTGTACTTTTCATGGCAGGCTATGTTTTGCTTGCAGTGTTTTGTTTAATACTTGTAATTTAACATCATGAAGGCTGCACCTCACTGGAGAAATTTTCCGTTACGCCTATAATATTTGCAACAGCTTTCATTATTTTGGGTAACTTTTCTAAAAATAAAAAAACCAAATAATTCAACAACTTCTATAATTTATCGTGCAGGACAAAATACATTTTCATTCATCAGAGTTAATCAAGGACAATAAACAGATTTAAAACTTGCAGTAAAACAACAAATATTTCACGGAAATAAAAGTTCCAGTATAGACAAAACGTTTGAATATTAAATTTTAAGCAGGAAGTAGAACTGTTCAAAGTAAAATATAAGTGGGCTACGCCCCTATACGCTGTTTATATTGTCCTTATTTTAGTTTATGTACCAAACCCGTGTTTTATATTTTTCTGCAGTCAGTTTTTAAAGTTTCTCCACTACTCTGAAATAATTGTTTCGATGTAAGAAGGCATTTGAAATTCATATTAACAATGCATATTTCATAATAATAAAAGACACTAAATTTTTAATCATTTTGTAGATTTGTGGAAAGAGGTCTTTTAAAAAGTCTTTTTGTCGACTAGCTTAGTTAATAGAAATAATTTATATAAACTAATGTCATAAGGAAAAAGCACAATCTGTGAAAATGTTTAAAATTTGTCTACTATCTTGATAGCTACATTGTTTACAGTAAAGACAATCCAAGATTATAGGTGATCACAAAACATAGTATGTTGAGAAGCTTCCATTAAATCAAGCTTAAATTTAAGTCAATTATTATTACAAAGATAACTATCGTTAGTTCTTATTTATCAAAATCGTTGATAACTATGCACGTACACAGTTCTCAAAGTATGAAATCTTTTGGCTAAACGTTTTACAACAATTTATCTCATTAGCATTATCTAAAATATTTCATTTAGTAAGTTTAAAATTCTCAGTTTTCAAAGCTTTACTAAGATATTTCTAGCACCTTCGTTCCATATATTGCTATTTCTAATATTCAATTCTCTGTTTTACAATTATTACACTTCATACGTTTACCAATTGCCTACAATAATGCCTACAATATTTGCATATATCAGTACATCAATTTCTTATAATACCTAAAAGTTTCTTCAAGACATTTATAACCTTTTGGAGTTACTCTATTGCTTCCAATAGCCAAGCACTTCAGCTTACATTTCTCATTTTCTAAAGGTTCGACTAGATATTTAACACCATCTTCACTTATCAGGTTGCATTCAAGATTTAAATAATCCTTATGTTATCTGTGCTTGTTTCGTATCGCATAATTATTGTGAATGAAACGAAGAACCCGTTACCGACGAAAAGATTGCAGCTGCACTTGCTCATGATAAAGATGTCCAGCCAACTTCAACACCAAGCTACAGACGAGAGTCCAATGAAACCGAAGAAAGCGTGTGAGAATAGTAATTACTGAGTACCTTGATCCATAAATCTAATGAAAGAGAAATTGAGAACAGAAATATTATTAACTATTTTGATCTGACAAAATGGTAAAAGGGTGCAGCTAGTATACTTTTAAAACTTCATATTACATGCATGTTATTAAGGTTTATTTCCATTACTATTAATCATTATTATAAATACTAATATTTATTAGCATTTATTTACTAGTTAACATGAAAAATGAACTCATTATGTTTTCTTTTATCCATACAAATACTAATGGTATTGCTATCGGTATGTAAATTTTCAGTTAGTCTCTTGATGTTCATTGTCCACGAAGGTGTACTGGGTGTTATTATAATTGTGTCCATGTTGATTGATGTGGTTATGCATTGGGTAGCAGCTATAATGCTGCACAGTCGTAGGTTGATACATTGCTAGGTTAATTGGTTGGTAAGGCTGATATTGTAGACCTGGTTGGATGGGGAGTCGTCGATGGAGACGATGCATTTTGTTTTTCTGGTATTCAGTGAAGAAATCTGCTAAGAAATTTGTTAATTTTTCAATGTTAGATGAAATTCTTTCGATGTTTTCGGAGCATTTCGTATCCATGTTGTCTAGCTTATCAAGAAGCTGCTTTTTGACTTTGGAATCTTCATAAGCAACAGATAAGCAACTGATTATCAATAAACAGTTTTTGTTTAAAATTTTCTTGCTTGTGATACTTTAATTTATCATAAAGTAGAGCTGTTCTGTTGTCATACAAGTTTGGGGTATCAGTGGTGTTTTGTGTATCACTGGTTATGGACCTTGTCTGCGATGGAGTGCATGGAGTAAGGCTCTCAGGCTCAGAGTTACCAAGTACAAGATCTTATGCATCTAAATCTACATTATTTCGTGAGAGAGTCGATGAGGTTGAGTTAAGTACCGCGATTATTAATTAATATAAACTATGATTGTTTTCATTGCTTTCGTATGAAGGGAAAAAACTTTTCTACTCACAATAATTTTAATTACGAACGACATTACTCAACATGCTAATGAGCGATGCAGCAGATGAATGATATCGTTGTTTGGTGATGTAATAATCACTGCGATAATAAAAAGTAGAAAAAAATATACGAGATTTTCTATGTATATTTTTCCATTTATTACAAGAAGGCATTAGCTTTCATGGACCAAGCAGTGATTCAACTGTCGCACCAGCTACCTGTCCACAGTATAAATGCCAAGGTGTAACATGTGACTGACATCCTACTTTGTAATGTCAGAAAACAGTGATGTAAATATTATTTTGAAGACTTTCTGACTACTCTAAAAAGTTTATGTTAAAACAAGTCATCGAGAAAATCTAAATTATGTGCTCTTAAAATATTAAATTTAAACTTGTTTAAATAAGCTTTAAGTAGACGTCTCCTTATTATCCATGACAATAGCAAATTTAGTACTTGCGCCCTTATTAAATTTCATCATAGAGTTAATTAGCCAATTTTGAAAAAAATAATATGAGTAACTTCTTTTTTGAGAAGTTTCTTCCCATCAAAAGATAATTAAGTTTCTTTCAACATGTGCACGCAATTTTGATGACCAAGAATCGCTCAGGTAAAAGTTCTGCTATGTATTGCGACGATTATTAAAAACAACACTTGAACTTGCTCATAAACAATGGGGATGCAAAACTTGGCGTTAAAGTAAAAAATATTTTTGATTACAAGACATTTGCCATTTCAAAATAAACCAACAGGTCAAATAAATAATTAGTATAACCAGAAAAGAAATTTCATTGAAAAGAAACTCAAAAGGAAAAAAAGTAAGCATGACAATCTACAGCTACAAGCACATCAAGTCATCAACTCTAAGGCTGGTTCGACCATTTTTCAGACTCTTTGGCCCTTTTTCGGATAGGGTACTTTAATCTTTTAGCCTGTTGCATATCAAAATAATGAAGAAGTCCCCTATGTTGCTCATTTCTACCATGGTAGATGCGACCTTTCTTCATTATACTTTGAATTTTATGTCTCATATCAAGCAAATGGCTTTCATCTTGTTTGTGCGCAGATTTGAAAAGACTTTCTTCATCTGCAACCACTGAAGAAAGGGTTTCATCAGCAAAAGCTTGTACGCTTGGCGTTACTTCATCTTTCTTTTCATTCGATGTGTTGAACTAACAGGTTTAAAAAGGAAGAAATCAATTGACTAAATCAACAAAAAACATTGACAGACACTTAGACCAAATCACTGCCTTTGTAAGAGTGATATAAGGCTGCTCATTAAGTAAAAACTCTCGTGCTTTATAAAATATGAGCTTCGCCTCATTGCATTTTCTTAATTTACATTTTAATCGTTTCTAAGATTAAAATACTCGCATTGAAACATTTGAAATATTGCACGATGCACACAAGACTAAATAGTGCCATTGATTACAAAAAACAAACAAAAGAATAGAATGCTTAAGAGTTCGTGATTGCTCTCAATCAGATTTTTTTATAAGCATCTGAAGCAGATATGCGTGCAATTTAGCGTAAATAGTCATAACCCTTACTTAGGTAAATTTTTCAACAACGTGTAAAACAATTTCCTTTGTCTTCCCAATTCGTTTTAACCTTACGCTCCCACACTCTCAACGCTAATGTAAATTGTCATTTATACATGAGCGTTGAGGGTAACCATACAACTTTTAAATGAAGATATGATCTTCGCACTTTGCTGGACAATTTAAGCAATCGTCTCATGAACCTGAAAAAATCAGGTGACTCAACGGGATTCGAACCCCTGACCTTTGCGGTGCCGGTGCAGTGCTCTGACCAACTGAGCTATGAAGTCACACTGTGTCTTCATTTAATTTCAAACACCGCACTGCATAAAATATTCATACATACAACTTTTAATGGACAATGAATTCGTTGGCCTCGTTACGGTGCACTAAATTTGGAAGCTTTTTGACCGGCGTGCGCCGCACGTACGATATCTCGTTTGTTATAATAAAGTAAAATACAATGATCCGCGAACTTTTTCAAGGATCACCTATCAGGTATAGTTAGGTGTCCGCTTATATGAATCAGCTTCATAATTGCCACCATGATTGACACCAAGTGGAAAAATTTAAAGAATTACAAAGTACAAATTGTCGAACAGCTAACTTTTTTTTTTCCCTTTCTTGAGCTTGAAATAGCCTCAAAAATTCTTGCGATTGAAAAATTCTTACGGTGACTAGCTTAAGACAATATATTTCACTATTAGTAGTTAACATACCTGCAGTTCGCAGGGATTGCGACTCTCGTGTTCTTTAAATACATTTTTAATATCTTCATAGTTACAGGTCTCTTCTTCACCAACTTTGTCACAAAGAGAATAGTTATAAGGGACTATGCACTCAGGGACTTCAGCCACAGCTATAGCCATGCCTAGAATCAAATGATGATCTATATGACAGTGCAAAAACCACCAGCCTGGGTTTATTGCCAGAAACTCGACAACGACATATCCTCCGGCAGGCACCGTTATCACATCTTTCCGTATTGTCGTTTTGTTGATGTGTAGATCTTAGGAAAAGAAAATGAATCACCGTGTAATTTCATCAGTACAATACTAAATACATATTTAACATAGACGACAATAATCAGTAAACATCAAGTTTGCCGTATTTCTAGTCTAGTTCATACCTCATCGTTTTGTGTGTAGAGCAAATGGGTGAGTGTGTCGGTATCAAATGCATATTGCCATTGTGGTTAGTTTAAGTAATGTGCTTAATTGCTCGTTTGATTTACGATGAAGACTACCACCGCTAAGGTTGTCGAAACATCAGTCAACATCAACAACAATACTCCTTCTCAGGACTCTACTAACCTGGATGATCTACATCTACAAACATGATCGACTAAAATTGATTACTTTCATCCCAAAACTAAGCTTGTAATTTAACTCCTAAGCCGACATCTCGTTTTCTTGACATTCAAGATGATACAAGAGTTTTAGACAACAGATTGTATATTATTTCGTCTTTATTCCAAAGACATCATCAAACTAATTAGTCTTCGGAATCTGTTTTATTTTGTTTTATTTAAAATTGTCTGCTTGTTCTGGTTATTTAACTACTGATTCATCACTATCATCATGTATAAAAAAATGTCCTGCAATCTTATCAGCAATAAAGCATAGAATATTTTCCAGAACAAAAATAAGCGCTTCGTATAATTTACAAAATACCTGGTCTTTTAGTCGTCCAATGTCCATGCCCGCACTTTTCAACAGTGACATCGCCATTAGGCGCTTTAATGGTGTCATTTTTGTAGTATTCTGGATATCCTATCTTTAAAACAAAGAACGAGTGACCATGAAGATGAATCGGGTGTGTGTGATATCTTGTAAAATGTTTAGGATTATACTCATTGCCAATTTCTATAGCAGAAAATATGAAGCGGATCGTTCTCGGTTCTTTACACGCAGCTAAACGATGAATATATACTGCATGCGGGCAGGTATCGCACACTTCTGTAGAGGTATTGTATTTACTATCATCAATATCATAGTATTTACATTCCCCTGGCGGTTTAGTCAAATTGGGGTTAGTGAAGGATAGAGTAGGAAATGCAAACTGAACACCATTTACCAACGCGTACGAACCATTGCCGAAGTGGAAGTTGAAGAAATACTCTTCGATCAAACTCCTCTCTTTTTTGGGCATTTCTTTTTCGGATGTTGAATGCAAAAGTTGTAAATTGGTCAGAGGCTCGCAAATGATATTCTGAGATTCTAGTAAAGGATAATATTCGAAAGGACAATTGAGAGCCGTGCAGTTTTCCTCTTTACATCGTGACGTTTGCTTTAAAAGAGTTGAAGTACTCTCTTCAATTGAGTCGTTTTTATACTGGAGATAGGCAAACTCAGAGCGATAGGCCTTAGTGCCGCAATCAATTGCAATGGATTCGATTCGGATCGGATATACATCGCCATGTTTGGGCGTCGTACATTATTAGAAATGACCTCGATGTCATATCTTTCGCCAATATGAATAATTAAGTAATCGACGATTTTCTCCTTTGTCAAATACCCATCCGCGGCAAGAATTTTTAATTTGTGTCCATCAATGGACAAACGAAAGGATATAACATACATTACACCTATAACGCGGAATCGGTATCGTTAGTTAAGAGGAAGATAAAACACAGGCTTGAATTGGGTTTTCGTTTCATCCAAATTGGAGTCCAATTCTTGTTCATTAATTCGAATGGATTTGATTGTTGCAGCACGCAAATGTAGTCTAGAGCCATCTGGTTCGCACAACGATTTGGGTGAGCCTTCTTTCTTTTTTATTTCATGCTCTCGTATTGCAATAACATTTTTCTCTGGTTTGTCAGTAATATTTGGATGGTCT